TTTAAAAAATCCTTTCTTTATTCCCAAAAGATATTGATCTTGGAAACACAAATTATGCTAACAAGAATAAGGAGATTACTCCTTCTATTGAGATTGATCCTTCAGTAACCTTCCTCACTCGGTGAAAAGCATGGAAATAATTGCTTAAAATCAGTTTTCTATGAAACCATGGCATCACTCCTATCAAATCAGCCCATATATCACACAAAAGTAATAACGACATGTGTATTCCGTGCAAGCAGTCTACGCACACTAACACAAGTTGACGGCCGGAGGGGAGTCCCCGCGCGCTTCTGCGTTTTGACTAATTACATTGCAGTTTTTGACCGTATACGGTTTTTATTAATTTGTTTTCCCTAAAATGTTCTGTTTACTTATTGTGATATCATTGTTAACCAAAAAATGGAAAATTACAAAAAAAAAATATATATATACTTATGTTAAAGACAACAATGACAAAATAAAGATAGCATACGACGCGCGGTCAGTGTCGCGTTCACCGGCCCGTGGAAACTGAAAGTAATAGCTATTACCTCAGCGACTAATTTCTAATGCACCACGCGATAACTATTATATGACATTACGAGTGTAGTGCATTGTTTTTATTACACGCAATAACTCTTCATACCTTGTATAGTAATTGCGACAACCGTCATTCAAGAAAATGATAGACACCGCTCCGCTTTATCGGTTGAACTGTAGATGTAATCATAGTAGATTCTATTTATTTTTTAAAATTTTATTTTACTTGTTAGTTTTAGTACTTCCAACAGACATTTAAGAGCTAAACATGGGTATAATCAGCTCTATGAACTTCTTTCGTCTTGAATAGTGTCACTTTTAAGTTAGTTTGTTTTAAGTTAGAGTTATATTACACTACTAGAGAGTAACTGAAACCAAAAATTTATCAGATAGGATATATATTGTATAGTTAAGATAAGTACCTTGTTAGCCTAAATTGGTAATTGAGGGGGGGAGGGAATTTATAAAAGGGCGGCGACACACTACTTGTGACTTTCGAGTCTAAGTGTCTAAGTGCAAGTAACTACACCCGCCCGATGGTAGTCACTTACCATCAGGTGACCCGTAAGCGCGTTTGCCCTCCTTTACTATAAAAAAATAGTTTTAGATATAGTTGAACCGAGAATCGATCGAGAAGTCGAAAGCCGAAGCTGAAAATCGATCTAAGTGGCGTGCAATGGGAGAGGCCTATGGCCAGCAGTGGACTGCGATAGGCTGATGATGGTGATAGTTAAACAGTTTGCAATTTATTATCAGGATCGTTGTATTATACGTTGTTGTAGTTTTTATTTTATTTTATCATTTTTTTTTTATGTATTACTTCACTTTCGTTTCTATTCCATCTTTATCTTGTTTTCTCTTTATTGCCTTTTTACCTTTTAGTTCTTAATAACGGACATATACTGGCACACGTCTTAACAATGTTGTGGTATATTTAATGATGCCATTGTATCTATTTGTTAATTAAAAAAGTTTGGCCGTGAGTTTGTTTGTCTTTTGGAAATCGGCACAGGCACTTAATAGATTTTCGATAGGTATAATTTTATCATAGTTTTTATGCTGTATATTTGATAAAACAGACATTGTTGCTATGTGTCTGTGTGTTGATCTATGACTTTAGAGTCTATATAAAAGATGATTTCTATTATTATTTTTATGAATTGATGATATTTTGAGTTTGAGTTTGATACACTAAAGTTTTTAGATCACTATTATTAGCACACAATTTTACAGCAAGCACTTACTGGACCCATTACCGCTATTACTTTTCTTTTATGCTTTCCTTCGGTGGGTGGTCCATTAAAATTTCCAAGGAGCCTCTGAACGCTGCAGCAACGTGCCCTACAGCCCACATAAGTTTCTCCGCCATTATATCTTTTAATGTAGCTATTGCACAATAAAGAAATTGTATTTATGACAACATAGTTGGTTCCTAATCTCACCTCCATCTACTATCTACTGTAATTTTTTTTGCGTTTCGAGATTTTTAAGAATTTATTAAAATTTGCAAATCATAATTTGGAGCTTTAAACTTATGTATCACCGACTTCAGTGTAGAAAAACCTACTATATTATTTTCACCAATAGAATATTATGTTGTCAAAACTATTATATGTCCTTCTTACACAAAGAATGGATAATTTGAGCAGAGCCTCAATTCTGTTATTTTTATGTAAAATTACAAGCCACTGTCATGCTATTGAGAGATGCCATTGTGATGCCATTTACATCGGTCAAAATATCGGTATTCTACTTACAAATACTACTTAGATAAGGCTGAACTTAATTTTTTTATGCGGAGTGACTGCTATTTGACTTCCACAACCTTTTTTTTAATAAAATAATACGTATATTTATTGGCACGAGAATTTCAATTGTGCGATCCAGGATCAATACTGACTAGTAGTCTTGCTTATCTTCGCTAGATGGCTCCAAAATATTTTTTTATATGGTCGGCATAAATATCAAACTTAATCTATTATTTCAAAACATTACTCTATAGTTATACAGTATTAAATTTATCGGGGTATTAAGGCAAATAAACGAAACAAGGATAAATCAAGAGCCATAACAACTCTAATCGTGAAGTTCACTAATTAACAAGTTTACATTGAATACAAAGTTTCTTTCCTCTATATTGTAACATCGCGCACTCACGAGTACTGTTAAGTCTACTTCAAAACGTTTAGAATTAATCTAACATTTTAAGTACAACGTAGCTGAAGATCTCTCTGCCAGGGAGTATAATATTTACTATAATGTTTGTTTTTTTTTTTAAAGAACTCTCGCACTAGGAATATATCCACTGTCGCGAGGGATTCCCGAACATTTATGCAACGGAGACAACAAACGCTCAAATTTAGAACAACAATATGTGGATCACACAAAGTGTTATACCATCTAGACATCGAACCTACAACATGCAGCGCGGTAGAAAGTGACTAGGTGACCGCTTAGACTTACTGAAATACATTGGAGGTTGAACATTTGTAAAAGTATCGTCCTACGCAGTTTTCATTTTAGAACATTTTTTATAGTACTGTACCTAGCCTAAATTATGACAGGATATTTCATCACCACGGAACCTGATTGTGAAATATGTAGAGGAAATAATATGGAAGTAATAACCCCAATAGATAATTGAATAACTCATTATTACACGCAGCTGCGTATCATTGCTTTTTTTGTTCGATTGATTGTTGCATTTGTTATCGATAACTCACAATCGATGAGAACGACAGGTCAATTGGTTATATTCCGAAAAATTTACATTTTCCGATTTCAAGGAATCATGTGCGTACGGTCACATCAACTTATCTTTAAACAAGAAACGTTCTTAATATTTGTGTCATGAATACAGTATTTTTTAAATGCCATTACGATATATTGACAAAAAAAGCTAATTTTGGCCTATTGGCCTAGTGGTTAGTGACTCTGACTTATAAGCCGGGTCGTGGGTTCGATTCCTGCTCACGATAAATAATTGTGTGTCATTTGTTCTGTGTCTGGGTATAACTTATTATGTACTTCATCATCATCATCATCAGCCTATCGTAGTCCACTGCTGGACATAGGCCATATTATGTACTTCTTATTTCTAAATACATACATATCATCTATAATATGTATGTATTTCGAAAAAAATTAAATATGTTCCACCATCAAATATTACCCCTCCTCCCTTCTTTCCTGTTTTAGATATATTTTTTTCATTTTCTTAAAAATGTTACTCCCGCATTCTGAATATATCCTGTGTCAGACTTTACAAACATACATGCAACAGACAAAAAGACCACCCAGACTCAGAACGAGAATTTGAGAATCACAAAAGTCCCATGTGAGGATCGGACTCACAACACTTGGGGCAGTAGAAAGCGGCGTGGCGACTACTTAAACCACTACACCGTCCGTGCAGTCATCCGTGGCAGATAGAAAATGTATCTATTATGGATATGTTTCACATCCATTTCCGTTCCACCGAACGACGGCCGGATGGCGTAGTGGTTTGTGTAACAGACTGCTACTTTAAAGGTTACGGGGTCGATTCCCGCTCAAGTTAAACATGTGTGTGCATAAACAAATAATGTTTATTTATTTTTTATTTATTTAAAGATCATACAAAGGATGTACACAAATATCAAAAATACATTTCACACGGGTTTTTGTTATGTGTACTCCTTCAATTATAGGAGACCACAGCATGCGTATTTTCAACTAAGTAAATAATAATTTTATGATACAATAGAGCCTAAAAATGAAAAGTGCTTAGTAGTTACAATAAATCGAAAGTGCAATAAAATTAAAATTAGAAGAAAAAAAAACACAAACAATAAATAAATGTTTGATTCGGTCTGGGTGTTTCTATGTATAATATGTATATATTTACAAAAAAAATGTATATATGTATTTATATCAGTTGTCTTGTACCCATAGTACAAGCTCTGCTTATGCTATGATAATGTAGAGTGCTGTTGGTGAAAGAATTTTTAAAATCGGTTTAGTGGTTTAGGCGTGAAAGCGTAACAAACGAACAAACTTACTTTCACATTTATAATATAAGTATGGAAACTAACTAGTATAGTAGGCCAAAACCTCCTTTCTACTGAGAGGCCTATGTCCAGCAGTGGACTATTAAAGGCTGTTGATGATTGATGATGATGATGAAACTATGGATATGGATTTAAAAATATTTTCATTCAACATTCTGTAACATTCTACAAATATCCGATTTAGATTTTCATTTATTGATATTGCATTCGTCAAATAAACAAATATAAGAATATTCAAGTCTTCGACCACACTCTTACAACAGCTCTGAACCCTTCCACAGCTATCGTTTAGTGGGGAGTTCACCAGTAAAACATTTCTCACCATTCATTCAGAACGATCACTTGCGTGCACTCACGATCACAAAAAAAAACATTGCAGATTATAGTAGATTATTCCTTTTTGTATATTAGCAAATTTATTATAAAAAAATGTGTGGGGAAATGGGAAAAGCCGTACTGAGGGCGTTAACAGGCGCCCTGTTATGCGGTCTTGTGTCCGATGCTGCCTATTTACAAGTGAGTATTTTTTCCGACTTTTTTTAGTTTTTTTCTTATTTATTTATTGTAGTAAAATCTTTTAGTACTTTTAATGTACAATCGTGTCGTATAGTTAATGTTTGATTTTGAATTCTGTTGTTTAGGTATTATTTTGCATAGAAATGTCAATGTCTATTTCTTTTTTAACCATTTGCATATAGTAATTTTTTGCGTCTATTATCAACACAAGTTTCACTTCTTTAATGAAATAAATGCTGTCCGGGATAATTAGAGACGATAGAACGCCATTATTTTGTAGCCTTTGTCCTCGACTTTGGTTAAAGTTATTTTTTTATTTTTCGGATAAACTTTTTTTATAAAAAGTAACGCTTTACAAACGGCAACGTAAGAAGAAGTTTTCGAAAGAAGTCTTTAGGACCACATTAGTTTGTTTTTATTCATGACTAGCCGGTACTCGCGACTTCGTTCGCATGGAATTTGAAAAGCGCTGCCTTATTGGGTTCGATGCCCGGACCGGGCAAAATTTTAAAGGGTTTTTCTGAGAGGAAAAATAACCTAAGTTATTCCTTATGTAGCCAGCTACCTGGTCGTAAAATATTATCGAAATTAGTCCAGCCGTTAGAAGATTACCCGGAACAAACAGACAGACAGACAGAGAGACAAAAAAACTGGTTTTTAGGCATAAGTATCGTGCAAATAACCGTGTGAGCGTGAAAAAAAACTATAATTTTGACATTACAAACAGACACTTCAATTTTATTTATTTGTATGGATAATCTAACTAGATATTGTTGGACCCTTTAGATATGGCTGAAAGAGTATTGCGGTACTTGATCCTAATGAGACCTATAATAGTAAGGATCCGGTAGCAGTAAGGCTCTTAAATCTTCAAGAGATTAATTTTGTTAATTCATAACAATGACCACATTAAAAAAGGGTTGCTGATTTCTTGATATTTTTTGTGGACGAGCCTGTTGATCTAATAGCATATCTGGCATAGCATTCAGGATGGATATCAGCTTGGTCGTGAGTTCGATTCTTTCCTAGAACAAATTTATTTATTTATTTATTTGGAAACTGAATAGCTATGTTACATATATCATGGGTGAGGTTAAACATATTTTAGACTCTTAGCCAATAATAAAGTTTCGTGACAAGTAAAAGAAAATTGCGTGCACCACTTAAACATAGGCAATTGTACGTATTATATAGTATCTATAATTTAATTTATATTAGGTATATTGTGCAGAGTGAGAAGTATTCCAAAAGAAAGCAACTTACAAAAACAATCTTAATTTGGATTTACAAGTATGATTGCAACTTTTTAGTTATTTGTCTTTTAAAGGCACTTTTTGAGATATTCTGTGTTAAAATATTCTGTGTTATTTACAATGTGTATGAATTAAAAAATGTATACAAAAGAATGTTTATCATTATTTTGGTTACCATATTACAAGCTTGGCCTAGTTTAAGTTCAGACGGCCGCATTCTGATATATTTGGTATATTACAATACTATTATGTAATGCACAATAAAATTTTTTAACTAGTATTGTGGCGTAATTACGGTACTTGTGAACTAGTCAAATCACACGTAACACGTCGTTAATCTCAATAATAAGTAGTTCATTTGCTAGGAAATGTTTTCGTTTAATACTTTTAATACATGCGTTTTATTATAAACTTGGTAACTTGGTAAACAAAGTTTGTTAATATAGTCTAATAACGGTAGGACGATCATCGTGAATGTTTTACGGTCCGTATATGTGTTTTTTGTGCCTTTTGCGTAGTTTTTGTGCGAAACTTGAATCCAAATGACCTTGATACTAACAATGAACTTCTTTCTTTAAAAAGAGACAACTCCCGCACTAAAAATATATCCTGTGTGGCAGGAACTTCACAAACATACATGAAACGGACACAAAAAACACCCAGAAAGAGAAGACAAGACTCTGTAAATCAATTTGTAGATCACATAAAGTGGTGTCCAATGTGGGGATCGAACTCCCAATACTCAGCGCTGTAGAAAGCGGATTGGTGATCGCTTAAACCACTACGCCATCCGTGTTCCGCTGAGTGTTGTGGGTTCGATCCCAACATGGGACAACATTTTGTGTGATCCACAAATTGTTTTTCTGAGTGTGGGTGTTCTTTGTGTCCGTTTCATGTGTGCTTGTAAAGTGATACATGATATATTCTTAAAAATGCGGGAGTTGTCTTTAAAATAAAATGAAAAACACATTGTTAACCTTTTAAATTAAATCAAATTTAAATATATTTAAATTAGTTTTTGGGTATTTTACTCAATTTTATTAATTTTTATTTGTTTATTATTTAAAATTGAAATTAGTATTATGTTGCAACTAGTGTGGCCGTATTTAAATATGCATATATGCGCACATATGCACATATGTGATGCGTCTCATTTTATAATTTGAAAACTCGAAAATTTACAACGGTACTAATTCTCTTGTTCGAAAACTCTATAAACTAAACTAAAAATCACTAAAAAAAAATTGTGCTGTCAAATATTACGTTTTCAGAATAGGAAACGTTGTTTGACAGAACTAAACAATTTTTTTGTGATTTTTAGTTTAGTTTAGAGAGTTTTCGAACATCAGAATTAGCACCAATATCTAGTCCATTAATCCTCATAAGATGACGACTAGCGCACCTTTAATACAGTTATTATTTCACAGTGACCTACTAGCCCCTAGGGACCAAACGCAGTCATAATACTATTGCTATTACACCACAGCCGGTACTCAAACAAATATCGCAGTTCAAACATCTGGTCCAGTCAATAATATTATTTGTTAAGGCCCACTATGATGTTTGTTCCACATCTCTCTCGATTTTGTTATCGTTTTGTTATTTTTCAACAATAAGAAACACGGAGAACATTTTTGTGTTTATTGAGGTTGTTTGTTAATCATATATAATCTACTTTTTGTTGTATAAATCAAGTTTATAGAAATTTTATTTATACAATGTAATTGATAAGAATCTATTTTGTAAAAGTGTTTACGAGTCTTAAAAAAAGTATGTTGTAGTAATATTGTCATCTGTCCGTTCGTGTGGCGACGGATGAAGAATACGTAGGGTCACCACCTCTATTCATCCCGTGGATGTGGTAACAGCACTGCAAGAAGAGATCCTAAACTTGACATAAACCATTTAACAAAACCTCCTTTCTAAGGAGAGGCCTATGTCCAGCAGTGGACTATAAAAGTAATGACGACGAGGATGAGGATTATTCACACTTCAATTCCAGCGTGGCGCGCCATTACAGTATTGGATTGCAACGTTGGATGTGGCGCTTGGTGTTAATATTTAGACTATCATATGACACACAACGCCATCTAGTTTCAAACTAAGCAGAGGTTGTACTATGAAAGCTAGATTGACTGATACAATACTTTTATACTTTTTTTGTCAATACTAATATACATATTATACATACATATTATAGAAAACACACAAACTCCGAAACAAATACTTGCAGATCATACAAACGTTACAAACCTGGGAATCGAACCCAAGACCTCTACCTCGCATACGCTACCACTGTACTATGAACGTAGTCTCATGATTGTTTAGAGAGTTCTATTATGTCATCATCTTTTTAACCTTTCATATTTTATTTGGAGTCGACGCAATGTGGTTCTGGTTGTTTAATATGATGGCTTGGGAAACCTTCCTTGGGAATGTTAGTATTTTTAGACACGACAAAGGAAGAGCTAGAGAGTTATGTTAAAGGATAGTGGAACTCTCGGATGAGGAAATGGGATGGATTACTTCAGCATTTTCTGCAGGAATCCGTCCTGTGAGGCCACTAGGTAGATGCCACTAGGGCAAAAAACATGATTGTGTAAAAAAAATAACACCTAAACACTTTTCTCTATTCTAAAGCCCATAGTAATTAATAATGCATTCTTAGTTTGTCTTTAGATCATTATCTAATGTAATGATAATAACCTCACACACGGCCGTCTGATCTCAAACAAAGCAGACCCTAACTAAAGACTAAAGCAACCAGCTTACCAGACCGTTGATAAACATACTTAAATATTTCTAAGTACATACATATTATAGAACAATTACACCCAGACAAAACAAATGTCCGCGCTCTTCACACAATTATTTATCCTGTGTGGAAATTGAACCCATAATCTCTGACATGTTTTTTTTATCGTTTACTGCCTACGCTTACGAGCGTAACTAAATTTTCTTCAACCTACACGGTGAATGAATTTCTCTATCTGGTAATAATAAAATTAACCTTCAGTTTTAAGGCTGAAATTCTTCTCGTTAATATGCAAATAAGGGAGTAATAATTTTTGAAACTTTTCAAATAATTGCATAGTTCAAAGGCGAAGTTGCTTGAATGTTCCAAGTAGAGTTATTAGAATAAAAGGGTAGCCACTCGCGACCTTAAATATCTAGTTGGTATAACCCGGCCCCTCATAAGGGAACGTTAACTTTTGCAATTTTCCTTTCAGCTGGGCTCCCTGGAGGCCTTCAAAGGCGAATTACTGTTGGTTAAATTTACTCTCATTTTCGTCGGCAAGTCTGAAGAAGGCCTGTTTTTTAGTTTTATTTCTTTGATCAAGCTTCTCAAAGTGGAAATTGTTTGAAACTTGGTTTGGTCCAGGAATTGGTATTCAGAAGTAATTTTGCAAATTCGCACCTTCTAGTATTGCTTTTAAATTTTACTTTTTCTTTGGGTTTATTACTTTTGCTTTAATTAAGCTGAATTTCTTTTACTTTACGAATTATACAAATTCGTTCAAAATCATTAAAGGGATGTAACAAACAAATTTGGGGAAAAGACAATTCTTCAACGCATGACTGCACGGATGGCGTAGTGGTTTAAGCGGTCGCCACGCCGCTTCCTACTACGCTGAGTGTTGTGAGTTCGATCCCCACACGTAACGACACTTTGTGTGATCCACAAATTGTCGTTTTGAGTCTGGATGTTCTTTGTGTCCGTTTCATGTATGTTTGTAAAGTACCCCG